CAGACCACAGTTTGCTCATCCACCCTGTCACAGACAGACATTTGGGTTGTTGTCAGTTTTTGTTGTTGTTATGAATTGCTGAATCTGACTCATAACTGGCCGTCAGTGAGCTTTCATAGGCAGTAAATCACATGTGAGGAGGAGAGTGCCAAACTTTCTCCTAAGCAGCAGCTGGTGGATTCGAACCACATATCTTTGGGTTTCAAAAAAAACTCCTCACCACTTTAGTTATTGCTAGCTAAGTTGCTGTGAATATTTGTGAATAACTAAAAATGCAATTTGTGTTTAGTTTCCCAATAAACTTGTCAGCTTTTTCTAGAATGACTACCTTATTTTGCACTACCATCAACAATGCTGAGTGACTCAGAGTTTCTATATTTTCATCACTATTTGGTGAGACAAGTTTGGGTTGGTTTTTTTTTTTAATTTAGCCATTCTTGTAGTTTTATTTTTACTTTGCATTTTTCTAATGGCTAATAATACTGAACAGTTTTCATAAGTTTATCTGACATCTGAATATCTTATTCAGGAAAAGTCTCATATCTTTTATCCATTTTCTAACTGGACTTTTTAAACAATCATTGAGTTAGAGAAATGTTTTATACATTAAAGACACAAATGCTATGCCAGGAAAATGTTTTATCCCAGTGTATGTCTTATGTTTTTCATCATCTGTATAGATTTTTCTTAAAAATCACAAGGGACAATTAAAATTTTTTTTTCCTTTTATGGATGCTACTGTTATTGCCAAGTCTAAGAACTTTCTGCTTTATCCTAAATTTCTGAAGATTTTTCTAGTGTGAACTTTAAACGTCCACAATGAATTTTAAGTTGGTTTTCATAGAAATACAAGGTTTTAGTCTTTCTTTAGTCTTCCCCCTCCCCTTTTTTATGATACTTGAATGTCCAATTGTATCTTTTAAAAAAATCAGTTGGGTTATCTTGTGTCAATATCTGCGTTCTCAGTTCTCTTCTGTTGATCTGTATGTCTGTCCCTCCACCAGTATGATAAAATCTTCATAAGCAAAGCCATAAAGCTAAGTCTTAATATCAGATAGAGTGATTACAAAGGGGATAAAAAAGGAAACAGACAACCACAGGTTGTCTTAAGAGAAAAGGAAATTTCCAATTCAATGGCATAAACAACTTTAAAGTAGAAAGATATTTGTAATACTAAAACAGCATACACAGAAACAAAAATTTAAAACATAAGGTCATATGCAACAATGGTGTGTATGTGTGGATGTCTGTTTTAACGTATTTAACAAAATACACTAAAGAAAGAAAGAAAGAAAGAAGAGTAGAGAGATGCAAATGTTCATGGATCAGAAAGGTAGACTGTTCATGGATCAATTTGGCAGAGATGCCAATCTTCACAAATTGATGCATTAGTTTAGTGTAATGTAATTTCTGCCAAACTCCCAGCACATTTTTTTTTGTAAATACAGATAAGCTTATTCTAAAATATGTATGAAAAGCAAAGTCTCAAGAACTGCTAAAGCAAGCAAGAGTACAACCTCTGGAAAGACTATAAAGTGGCAAAATCAGAATTTTTATCATCCCAAACTGAGAAACAATTAAGGGCTACCCTTTAAAGTCATCGCCCTATGTGGTATTTTGCTATAAAAGCCCTAGAAAACGAACACAAATTGTGGCAGGGTTGTGAGTGTGTATATTGTTGTTTATTTCAGTCATCAAATATGATTTAAGAAACTCCTGAAAAAAAAATCATATTTACTTTCTTTTTTCCATTCTGAAATTTGACTCAATCTTCTTATATCTTTTCCTTTATATTTAAAAAAATCTCCCTTTGCCATTTTTTAAGGGTACATTTGTTAGCAACAAAATCTTTTTCTCTTTGAGAATATTTTTATTTCCCTCTTCCAAAAAACCCCCATACAAGACTGAAGAATAGTTTTGTTGCATATAGCATTTGCAGTTGATAAATAGCTTTTGGTTTTTTTATTTTTTTATTCCCTCATGATTTCAGAAATCTGCTATTATTCAAATTAATGTTTTGCAGTAAGTAAAGTGTTATTTCTCTCTCACTGCTTTCAAGATTTTTCCTGTTGCAGTTCTAAGAAGTTCAACTAGATATATCTTTATATGGATTTCCTCAAGATTATCTGATTTATAATTGGATTCTATGGATGTATGTCAGCTCCTACACATACTCATGTTAAAATGCCATCTGCCAAGCCTGTGTATAATCATGAATGCTATCCCTGTCACTTCCCCATATCTGTTTTGTCTGCCTATGTATGTATAAATGTATGTTTGCTACTCGTAGTCACGTACAATTGTGTTTTTAACTGACGCAGGCCTTTGAAACCTCTTGCCCAGAGTGGTGGCTTGGGAATAATTGTTAAGGCAGGCTATTTTATACAAGTCTTGGCCTTTGTGACTTAGAGAATTAGAGGAAGAAAGAGACATTTGGGAAAGTTTTGACCCTGGACATAGATTGAAGGATTACAGGGAATATGCCAAATGGTGGGAGAAGCAAAATAATTGTGTTCCTCTAGCAAGAAGAGTCAGATTGCCTATGATGTGCATATTATCAGGCGTGAAGGAAAAAAAAAGAAAGAAAATGAATAGTTGAGTCTAATTTTACAAAGTTTCAATCGTAACATCCGTCATAAACATCACTTTGCCTAAAGTTGGTTCCAATAAATTAGAAAAGTGAACAGTTTCATTAAAAAGCAATAACCAACATTTACAAGGTACTTCCTCTGTGCCAAGTACTATACTCAAATTTACGTGTATTATTCAATCTTTAAAAAAAGTTATGAATGACGTAATGTTAGCCTCACTTTACCAGACAAGAAAACGGAGGCTTAAAAGGTTTATCAAGCAGCCTGAATTCAGGGCCTTGAAATTCCACAACATAACTATTTAAATTATTATTTCTTAATGCTTCAGTTTCCTCATACATAAAAGAAAGTATAAAGTCTTACCTTCTTTTTGTAGGATTTCTGTAAGGAGCTCAAAAGAGGCATCCTGTATAAGTGATGCTGATGAGTGTTGGAGTTGTTGCTTAGAGGACACCTCTCAACTCCCTTAAATGGAACCCACTGAGGTTGGGTTGATTGATTCAGCGCGATCCTCCAGCGGGTCTCCTAGGCAATCAATCTTTCCGAGCAGTGGTCTTTCTTCTGCCGGAGCCTGTGTCTAAACCACAAGAATCCCTACCCTGAAGCAGTCCTGAAGGATCTTCTATTAGAATTCTTAGTTGGACTTTATCTGTGAAGGCAAAGACTGGGTTTTGTGTCGGACAAATGTTTCCTAAACTAAGTGAAGGCGATTCTTTGCAGCAACTGTCAGCACTCTTGGGGTGGATTCAAACTAGCAGGTCTGCAGTGATGTTAAGGAACCTTAGTCGGCAAAAGCTGACCACGCAGGAGGCAAAGAGCAGGGGGGCTAGGACCCCTGGCAGGTGATCAAAGATTACACAGGACACCTGGTATATTTATCCAAAACTACACAGGAGAGCGCAAATCACCTAACCATTCGCCGTTTGAATGGGCCACCATATGAGTGCGCAAACGTCCCCCGATATCCTAATATTTTGAGCATAACCATCCCATACAGGTCCCCATAATAAGGCTCCACAATATCACAAAAGCGAAAAGACGCCGAGACGATGCCCACCACAGATAAAGTGGCTCATCTCTCTTCCCCCAGTTCTGCACCCCTTGCGCCCCCCACCACACCCCCCAGTAAGTGGTACGGGCCACTCAAGTGTGAGGGACGCCAGGCCACCCCCGATTGGATTTGGTTCATTCGGCATGTCCAAGCTTCCCCCACTAATCTTCCAGTGGCGCCTTCCAGCCCGCGCCCCCCTCCTTCTCCTCCCACGCATGGGCACCCCCACCCCTTGGGCTCAGGAGATATAAACCCTCGAGTCCAACACTTGTAGGAGCAGTGCGCTCTGAGCCACCACCGAGCTCACTCGACTCTGCCTGAGCTTCCGCTGCTGCTCGGGGAGGACGCGATTGATCGCAGCCTCCTTCACCCAGAGCCAGTTTGCCCACTAGCACTCTTGATTCGCCCCTCGGAGAGAGGTAAAAAGGGTCTTGTGCCTTTTTTCGGGCCAGCTCGAGGTATGGCGGGCCAACCAGCGTTCCAGCTGCTGAGGGGTGAGAGCCGGCGGGCGCGTTGTCTGGGGTGCGGGCATGAATCCCTGGGCATCCCGAGGGGGACACTCTTGGATAAAGGGTTTCCCTTGGCGCAGTTGTTGATGCACCACTAGCCGAGCTTTCGGTCCCCTGCGGGCTCCCTGGGCACCCCTTGCTACCCCCACGGCCACACCCTGGATCTTGGCATCGAATCCTTGCCCCTGGGGATCTTGTATCTGTCCTGAGGTCCAGTGATTTTTAATAGCGCATGTTTTTAAGGTCTGGCAAAGTATTAACTGTTACCTACAGATTCTCATTCTGTAGCTAGAGCTGGATAAGGCTCTTAGACTAGTCACTGAAATGGGGACATCAGGTGTTATTAGTGGGTCTCCCTGCCCCTCGCTTGCACTGCCTTGAGGGGTGTCTGGGCTGGGGTGTCGGGACTTCCTGTTTACCGCGTTTCCGCCCTTGTGTTACTGACTTTGCAGCTCTAACGAAAGTGGTGGAGTCTTTTTAAAATTCCTCTTTGCTCTTTATCTCCCCGCCCACTTCTCTTTAATGCCGCGCGCCCACTTCTCCGTGTTGTGATCCCTCTTTTACAAATCTGGAAACTGAGGACTCATGACGCCACCTTAAACATGTATGTTTCCCATCTGAGCTGTTCTGTTTCCTGTTTGTATTGCAGAGCGGACCCTCGCCAGCATCGTTGGTGGTCTCCATCCCCGGGAGCGGCTGACGTGACCAGGTAGACAATCTGACTCCAGGCCAGGCTGGGACCCCCCATCACTCATTCTCTCTCTCTCTCTCTTTTTCTCTCTAGGCAATCCCTACAAGAGATTCGATTCCGGGGCAGGTGCGCTCCCTTCTCCTGACCAGTTCTCCGTCATGGGCAACTGCTGCTTTGGCTTCAAGGAACGGCTGATGCGCCGGCTGAGCCCGCTGCCCACTCTGCTGATCATCCGCTCCTTCATGCCTCAGAGAAGATGCAAAGATTACCGCGTGGTGGTGCTCGGCTCCGTGGGCGTGGGCAAGAGCGCGCTGGTGCAGAGGTGGGTGCGCGGCACCTTCCGTGACAACTACCTGCCGACCATCGAAGACACCTACCGCCAGGTGATGAGCTGCAACAACAACGTGGGCGCGCTCCACATCACCGACACTACTGGCAGTCACCGCTACCCTGGCCTGAAGCGCCTGGCTGTCTCCAAGGGCCACGCCTTCGTCCTCGTCTACTCCGTCACCAAGAAGGAGAGTCTGGAGGAGCTGAAGGCTGTCTACGAGCTTATCAGCGAGGTCAAGGGGAGCAGCCTGAGTAAATGCCCAGTCGTGCTGGTAGGCACCAAGTGCGACGAGCGAAACCGCGAGCTGACCCTCCGGGATGGCGCCATCTACGCCCTGGAATGGAATTGCGCCTTCGTGGAGACCTCTGCCAAAACCGATTTCAACGTCAAGGAGCTGTTCTTCATGCTGCTCAACCACGAAAACAAGCCCGCAGCCTGCCTCCAGCTTCCCAAAAAGAAGTCCAAGAAGACCGAGAAGCTGGTCGGCAAATGCGTCATCATGTGAATCCTCAAGCACAGAAGACCCACAAGATGCTTCTCCTTGCAGCCTGCTGAAAACATGGACTCATTTCTAGCTAATTTGCCAGCTATATGATTGATTTTGTGCTATGATTTGAACTGTGACAACAATTTGGTGTCAATTAATGTCCTCAATAATGTTACAAACAGCCCCTGCCCAGATAAAATAACTGAAATTGTTAAAAGGTTGACGTGTGAAGAAAATAAAGCAGTGATTTAAGAACTGGACAGCTTTAGAGAAATGTTTGAAAAAGAGAAAAAAAGAATACGAAAATGAACTGAAAAATGCCAAAGCCCTAACTGTAATACTATTAGTGTGTATTATGTATTAGCAGATCCTGTTCAAATTCTTCCCATTGTGTATTGAATTGTTAAGAAATGTGTTTTGCAACAAAAGCTTTGACAAATTGCTCCAAAGGAAAGGTACACCAAACAAAAAATAAATTAATCTTCTGTAACTGATCATGGAAAAGGGGACAAAAACAACTGTAGAATGTGCTTACCAAAGATATGCCTGTTGCTTTCTGAATAACTTAAGATAATTTTAAAACTATAAAAATCTTATGACTTAATAAATCTATTTCTGCATGCAATCAGCTTGACTCTTATTTTTTCTTAATCTGAAATTTAAAAAAGTAAACAAACACAATTGCTCATTGTGTCACATTAAACCACACTGGATAAAAGTTTCCAATTTCAGTGATGAAAAAGTCAACACATAATAAGGGGCTAATTCGACACTGCCATTAAACAATTAGGTCAGTCGTTGGTAATCAGTGTTGTAAAACAATTTGTCTGGGATGACTGAATGAAAAAACAACATGAATTATAAACTTCTTCTGAAATAAAAAGAAATAAAATTTTAAAAGAAGAATAAAAGTTATCTGGAGATCATGAAATGGAAAAATTTCACACAAAGATGACCTGCCCCCTTGAAATTACCAATGCAGTCTTTAGAGTCTGCAATGTAGAGCTGGTATGTGTCCCTATGTTTTCCTGGACTGACACTCAGTAGATTAAACATCTCATTTTGTCAAAAAGGGTGCTCATCGGGATAGTAATTAAACAAACAAATAAAACTCATTATTCTATCAAAGTAAAACTAAAATAATAATAATAATAATAATAATAATGATTATAATAAAGTAAAAACAAAATAAAGTCAAATGGGGTTTCTGAGGTTATAATCCGCCCACTCTGGCAGAGCAGAGGGTGAGTCTAAACCACTAACTTTCTAGTTAACAGCCAAGTGTTTAACCACTCACCACCAGGATTCCTTAGTCTAAAACTTTGGTTGCCACAGTTTTCCTCAAGAAACATTGAACAAACTGTGTATGAGTAATCAAATATAAAGCAAACACACTTTGTAAACTTTTGTTCCCATAATAATAAAAAAGTGTAGTAGTTTTTTTTAAATACTGGGTCAATGATGAGAATGCTAGGAAAGATGAGGAATGGGTAGGAATTGAAGTTTGAGAAACAACTTCTTAAGGAGTTTTAAAAAAATAATTTCACATTTAGGAATACATTTTCAAGTGAAGAAAGAACACATCTCGTGTCACTGATTTGAAGTGTTTTACCTATTTTTCAAAGTTAAGGAGTAAGACTCTTAAACTTATAATTTTTCCAGAAAATAATATTATTAAAAAATTTCCAGCAACTTATCTGTCAGGTGGTTAGTTATAGTTTTATTTCTGAAAAAAGAAGCATATGGTTGAGAAGGAATTCTAGACATCTATGGCATGCTAGTGTAGACAAAGTTGTGAGCTTAAAAAATCTAGTTAGGAGCCACTTCTTAAATATTACTGATAACTTTCCCTATTTAGTTTGAAAACAATTTTTTGACCACTTAGAAAATACCTAAGTGTCTCTACAATGTTACTTCTTATTTAGTCTATTTTTAAAAGTTGTTCTTAACTAAACTTTCTAAAAAAGAAAGTAAGCCCATTTCTAAGAGAAAAATACTCTAACTTTGGTATTTTCCAGAATAAAAAGTGGTGGTGTATTCATTGCTGCTCCTTGTAGGTGAACAAGGACTTGATAATGGTTTGAGTGGGAAATACTAACCTTCAGAAAGGCAAGCATCATTTTAATGTTTCAGGTCATGCTGGGGAGGAAAATAGTGCAAGGTGATAGCAAACAGTCTTATTTACATGACATTGTTCTCTATTATTTTATAGCAAACATTTATAAAATCTTTCTCATACCAAACACTGTTCTGCATCATCTCATTTAATCCTCACAATCCAATGAAGTGGATACTGTTATGCTTGTTTTGAAGACTGATGCCCTCATTAAAACTAGTCAGTGGCAGAGGCAAATGTTTTACTCCAGTATCATCAATGAACAAATAACCTGACTTTCTATTCTCTGTATTATATACATAGAGCAAGGGAAGAATGCATATGTCCTCCCTAAAATTCAGAGTGGGTGCCAAAGAAGTAAATGGGCAATTAAAACATGTTTAGAGTGTTTTAGAAACAAGGGAAACACTTAGCATGGAAAGTTGCAAGGTTTTTCCTGAAGAGGTCACATTGCTGAAGTCTTCGTTTTAGTAGGAATTGGTTTAAGGAGTTCTCATGGTATAGCAGTTAAGAGCTTGGGAAGTAAATGAAAAGACAATGGTTTGGCTCGACCAGCTACTCTTTGGGGAGAGGGGAAACAGGAATCTGTTTCTATAAAAATTAAGAATTACTAGAGGAAAACTTCCCAGACATAATGAAGAATGAGAGAATATATATTCAGGAAGCTCAGCGAACACCATATAGATTCGACCCC